GACAACATCAATCACTGAATGTTTGATTTCGATTGTTTATCTAAAGGAAAAGTTGTCCAGCAAATACGTACGTAATTTGCGAAGTTAGCAGAGCGCATGATTAGGCTTGTATGCGTATATGTGTGTAAGTGTGAATTGTTGCATGTGTTTATTCCTGTGTACGCAGAAAAGATGTGAAAAATTATTGAAATATCAGCTCTTCGAAGGTCTTAGAGGATCTTCTAGTCCAGCAAACTCGTCTAGATCTTTCTTAATTATTTTAGTTAGAAACTAAAATTATATGTATATATATTATATTTCTAGTATTCGTACATTTTATTCTACTATTCCAGAAAGAATTCTGGATACTCTTACGTAGAACCGACGGGATCTGTGATGCGTTATCCTACGAAATATATCCACCAGCTGCGTGGTATATAGAGCACCAAGTAAAATCTACCAAATCAGTCTGACCAGGTAAATTTAAATATCAGGTATATTTATATATATATAAATATTAATCGCTGTATATATCTAGACTATAACCATTTGAGCCCTTTCAGAGTTTGCTCATATAAAAAATAGGACAAAAATTGTATCCTCACCTTCAAAGCTAAGATTGCATCCTTCAGATGAAACTATACATTTGATGGAGCCAATCGGATTTTGATATTCTTATATGGAAGTTCGATGGATAAGACAAACTGACAGTAGTTTACAAAAAAAATGTTCAGAAAACAGTCAAACAAAATTATGCCTAACTCAGCCGATTTCATGGCTATCAAAGAATTTCAATAACATACAAGGCTAACAAATAACTTTAACACAACCAAGAGGCGGTTAAAGAACTGTCACAATCATGGAAATTTGATCACACTTACGTGTGCGCATTACGCACAATATCCTTGTTTGCATATTAAGGCCGTCGACCGGTTTGGCCATTGTGAATGAGCTCAGCCCATTAAAAGTGTCGCTGAGGCACTTAATGCGCCCAAGGTCGCTGCCGACTGTTCGCCCTGAAGGCAATCTTAATTACAACCGAAGCTTCAGTGCGTACGCAACCAGAAGAGCCTGTCATTGAGCAACTGTGACAAGCTGAAGACAACTGGCACGTTGTCACTGCTGTGCGGCGGACACTCCCAACTGACTGGCGGCTGACACCCGGATCAGATCTGACTTGAGCGGGGCAGCCTGTTCCCACTAACTGAGTCTCAGCCCAGCCCTATTCGCACTAGGCCAAAAATAGAATTTACCAGACAGCACCTCATGTCGTCGTTAATTGCATTCAAACAGCATCAGCAACAGCGACAAGTGCTGGCACCAGAATCTGCAGCTGCAATTACTTCTACTCGTGTCCTTGAAACTTGGCACAAACAATTCCCGGACTTTGCTGCAGTTGTTGAGTGTCGGCCTTTCATCTCTCTGCCTTCGTGGTACAGCGCAATCTGTGTCTGTGGCTTTAGCCTCAGGCCTCGACACCAACTCGTCATTATCTGCACGCCACAGTTTAATTGACCTTTTCCTTTTTCAGGTGAAGCTGCAACAAAATGACTTTCAGACAGCACATTTCGCTTTTTCGCTAGATTGTTCTAGGCATTCTAGTTGCTATACTCTGAACCATTTGAAAATGGAAATGCTGACTTTGGAAAAATGTACTGAACAGTCAATTAGAGGCGTGGTCCGTATCAACCCAAAGAAAGACCAAGCCTCTAAAGCTTGAGACTTTAAACATTGAATACATATATTTACCTGTGCACATTACATAGACAAGGCATTCCATTTATTTATTATCGATAATAATCGATAATTTCACTTTGGTATTTAAGCTTAATTTTGCAGAGATTTCAAATTTAACGTGCAGGTTTCTATACTCACTACATTCTGAAACATATTTATTGATTTGAAAGCAGACAAGAGCAGTCTTACCTGGAATATATATTTATATTTGACAATACAGTAGAATACCGCTATAACGACTCCGCTTAAAGCATCTGTACAGCTATAGTGACGAACTTTTATAGAACTTTTATGAACAAACTTATACAGTTATAGCGCCTTCCGGGTATAACGACGGTACCTTGAGCGTCGTTATAGCCAGATTCTTCTGTATATCAAATAATGCCTAAAATATTATACTCAGATTTACCATTTTCAATCCCTTCATAATATACTAATTGTGATATTGCATTTGGTAATCCAAATAAACATAACTGCAGTAGGTTACAAGGAAAAAAGTCTTCTCTCCACATTTAAATACTTACATATATACATCCACTTACATATGTCACATCATATAAAGAGCTTCAACTGCACAAGGCCTAAAAACTGAAAGCGAAGCTTTCATCCAGTAGCCAGAATATTATCCCATAGTAGGTATATCAACTGAAATTGGCTCATCTTAGAATCACAATCCGTCAATATCAATGTGCCCTTAACCCTATGGGCTGGGATAACAAATGCCCGTTTAAATTGACTAAATTATAGTTCGCTCCGCCGAGTGTTTAATAAATGACGCACAATCATTATGTAAAGTTAAACTTAATAAATTTACATAATGCGAAAACAAAACCAGAGAAGGAAAGAAACGAAATGAAACAAACAGAAAAGAAATGAAGAGATGAGAAAACCCATAAAAAGCAAATATAATAAATAACAGACGAATGCGTTGATGTAAAAACAAAGGCTGAAGCGCATTGCTTTATTGCCAATTTGATAAGTCTTTCAGTTGCCCAAACTTTGATTTGCCCAACCAATTTGGGGGCACTGAAAAACAAAACTCTGTGCGAGAAATGAGAGTATTCATTACGAAAATAAAGCCATCAAATGTGTTAAAACGGTCAATAAACTTATTGACCGACTTATGCTTATAATGCACACAGAGTCACACACACGCACACATGCACACGCGTACGGGCAAGCTGAGATACCTGTATAGCAACGCCCCCTCGCTAGTTTGCCTTCAACGCGGGCAGATTGTGCTCCACTTTCATGGCATTTACTTTCGCTTTTTATACACCGCACACACACACACACATATACGTGTGCGTGTATGTGTGAATACTAATCGCCGCAATACGAGGCTTTGTTATTGTTCAAACTATGTCGATGCTTCTGCTGCCCTGCTGCAGCTGCTGCTCTGCGGTTTATCTTGATTTAAGCCATCGCAATCGAGCCCAGTCAACCCGATGAACGGTCCAAACGCACAGTTTCTCAACGACCTTGAGACTGTTACCGGTTTCTTTTGGTATGTGTGTGAGTATAATTATGTATGCCCACATATGTGTGTGTGACTGTGACTATCTTTGGCAGCATCGTCTGATTTCACGCTCATCTTCGCCTCTCTAATATGGCATGGGTTGCCTCTAGTTGAGATCATTTGGAATAGTTTTAGGTTTAAATTGAATTATTTACCTATAGCATTGCAGCGAGCGATCTTTGGCCGGCTTTGCGCGGGTTTCACCATCGCTGCGCCTTCCAATTCCGCCCGCACTACCTTGAGACTTGAGGCAAGCCCAGAGTCAGCACGGCAAAGACTTCTAGAGTTTCGACTTTAGTACTGCTCGTATGAACAAGTATCGAGTTATACTATATCTGATACATACGAATCGTACTACCTATACATAGCCGTTGTTGCCTCGGGTAATTAACCTTTGCTAGTTCAGTTCAGTCTACCGTTGCTATAGGGTAAGCTCAGTTGCAGTGACCATCTCTGGCACACGTATGTAAATGAAAGTCGGGCTGTGCTTTGTTTGCTTTAGCTGTTGGCTGGGTCCAGTTGGATATTGATTTGGGCTGTTTCAACAGATGTATGATTTATTAATAAGGCTATGCTAATCGGAGCTGTCAGGCGCATGCACACAGCCGCTCTCTAATACACACACTTGTTTCCTATATATTGTTTTTATTATAGCTCTTAGCCATGGCTAACTGAGTATGCATGTGTGTGTGTGTGTGTATTAAAATTAATTTTAACGTTCGCGGCGTGTTGCAATGCGATGAAAGCGTCATTTGTTTTGCAAGCTGCTGGTTTTTGCTACTGTTATTGCGCTTGCCACCAATGCAAACTTAGCTGGGGCTGGCCCATTGCCGAAGCGCTGCTCGTTAGCAAGTTCGTTGCCTAAGTCATTTGATTTGTCACATATATACGCACTGGGCGAATTCAAAATTCAGATGATTTTTATACGCACTGCGCGCAAAGTGGAATCATCAAATAGACATATATGAGCCGAAAATTAAATTGGTATATACAGCTCATCTGCGGCTGCATTGAGCGAACGTTGAAGATGACCTAAGCTTGGTTGTTCAACCAATCATTAGTATTTACATTTGCCAAACTGTTCAACTCTTGACTTTACGTCGCACTAGACCCCATTTGGAGTATTAATTATTCAATAGCATTCACTTGACATGCTTTCTTGCATTTAAAAGTCGTCATGCAGTCCTTGGTTCAAAAACCCTGTTTTAAATAAATCGTAATTCGTTGACTACAGGAGCTGAATGCTCCAATGAATCGCTTTAACAGCTATCTTGCTCAATTCAGTCTTGAGTTTCATTACTTTCCTTTCTCTCTCTCTCTCTGTCTCTCTCTCTCTCTGTCTCTCTCTCTCTCTCTTTGAAGTAATTTTTTTAGTTATCTCTCTCTCTCTCTCTTCACTCCTTTTTTTAGTTTTCTTCCTCTTTGTCTCTATCGCTCTCTCATTCTTTTTCCCTTTCTATCTCATCATCTCAAATAATAGCTTCTACTACCCATCTCAATTTTTCATTCTTGAAGCCATAGTCAAAATTTCATATTACTTGACATTAATTTAAACATATTAAAAATAAGTTTTAAAACACAATAAATGTTGTCTTTTAATAATGCAAATCATTAGCAATGTGTACATATTTAAATATATCAAATAAGACACAAATGTAAATGAATTTCATAGCAAATACCCTTGCTACTTGTTTACCTGTACGGTATAGGTATAGGTATAGGTATAGCTATAGATATACCTCTACACTTATATATTAATACTCACCGCATATATTTTGAGTTTCGCTGTCTGTTAAAATTTTGTGTAGCAACGTGAACTCTCACCGGCACTTAGCACTTAACAACGATACAACAACAACGATTTAATACAATATATATATTATGATATAATTTTGAGGTGGGATTTACGCAAAATCTTGCACTCAAATTTTCTTTTGCACATTAAGAATTTTAGTGAACACCCAAAAATAAAAACACGTATATGACACTTGAGAAAAAAGAAGAAACAAAAATATAAACAAATAGTTTAAACAGCGCCAAGCCGTCCGGAATGTCACTTGGTCTTGTGAAAGATTCACGCGTAACTGAGGCCGCGCAACTGACAGACGAGCTCGAAAAGAAATATGTAAAAAGCACAGCGCAGTAATAAGTAAAAAGCATGCTTATAAAGTGCCCCGCACCGCCCTGCCCCACCCAAATGACATTGTTACATGCAACGAAAAGAAAGTGACAAAGTATGCGCTTCACTGGCAAAGGCAGCTGGAGTTGAGAGCGAAAGAAAGGCAGAAAGAGAGCAACAAAGCGAGAGAGAGAGAGAGACAGAAAGAGAGCGAGAGAGAGAGAGAGCGAGAGGGAGGGCGGTAGCAGTGCAAAGCAATTGCGAATAACATTGGAGATTGAAACGGAAGCAACGACGAAAATCAAGTGAAGCCAATCGAACTACCAGCACGAGCTGCCATTACCATTTACTCAGCGAAGGGCTGCAGAGCATGCATACTCGACTGAAGCACACCGCGCGTCACACAAGTAGGGCAGCTAAAAGCAAATGTGGCACTTGTTGCATTCACGCTATAGCTATATGCCTAGCATATGTTAATACACATTAACAAATAAATATTTGCATATACACAAAGTCCGTAAATATATAAAGTATTTACACAAACATACGTCAACTACTGTAGGAAATTATTTTCTGTGGACGGCACACGATCTACATTAAATATTTCAATATAATATATGTGGGACCAACAAATGTGATTATACTAACAGATAAGACTAGGACAGTTAGGACTAAGACAGCCAAGAGGAAAGGAATCGGAGGCCGTATTATTCAATTTCCATTTACATATATGGAGCTACTTATGTGATCATCTATATGTATATGTATATAGTGAGTCAACTCATCACCCTGATCAAGTTCATCTGGAGTACATAAATTTGTACAAGCCACTTTATACCTAGAATTCCATTTTTTATGGGTTTATAGAACTTTGTAAAACATTACTGTCTATAAACATATATATATATTTACATATGTCGGTCTTGGGTGCATTTAGTCACTCCATTATAGCTTTACACTTTTTCAATAGCCTTCTCTGTGGGATTCCCAATGTGCTCTAAGCTGTCCATTAGGAAATGATATATTCCTTCGATCGAATGTGTCAGTTATAGAGCAGTTGCTGAACAACATGTGAAGAGAGTTCATAAAAATAGTTGGATAACCAATATATCCATAACCGCTCATATTTAAATTATTTTATTTTATTCTTTATTTTTTTATTTATTTATTTATTTATTTACTTTTTTTCATTTTGTACTTTTACTAAAATGAGATCCCATTGTACGGTTGTTTGACCTTCTCTCTCTCAATTTATCTTTCTGTCTCTTTCACCCTGACACTTTCTCTCGCTCTCTCAATCCTCCATTCTATGAAGGTTCTCAGCTTTACACGAGGACACAACCATAAAAAAAATGAATGAATCTGACAAATTTTGAAAGAACTCTCCAGTCACTCAATTTTACAATATCACATCATAGCAATACGACATATTTTGTACCAGTGCCTTACATCGTATTCATCGTAGTATTAGTATCGTGTACTCACGCCACTTAAGCTGCCGATGAAACCAACGAGGGGAGTCACTGTCCGATTCCCCGTAAACGCGCTTCATATAACATAGTAGACAGACAAATAGAGTCTCTCATCTCGAGCCTGAACATTCAAATGTCATTCAAGTGTCGCGCACTATATAATCATTTTAGAGTCCAATGACTGCTGTCTGGGGAGTAAAGTTCAGTCCAATTTTAACATGATAACTCAACTCACAGTTCCTGACTTCACCCAACCTGATGTTGGGGAGGGCGAGGTGTCAGAGCAGATGGCTGGTCTCGAATATCGCGGTTCTGTTGAGCCAAAAAAGCTTATTTAACCGAGCAATTAGCTAAACGAGGAGCACACGAAAGCTCAAGCCGCATGCTCGCAAAGGAAATGTTAAATTGCTCACGGTGTATGTATTTGCCCCATAATGACGACAGACCCTTTCGATCTCATTTAGTTTTTGCTTAATTGCAGCAGTGAGAGTGAATTTCACTTGAGCGTAACAGACATTTCACTTAACATTTATGTTGGAGAGAATAGCTTAGAGCGGCTCGAGTCGGCGCCTTCTTACATCATCCACTCAACTGGCCAGCTACCCAAGCAGTCCAAGCTCTTCAAGCTGTCCAAGCTGTCCAAGCTGCGAGTCGTCACGGCTTACGCACATCCCATGCCAGCTAAGAGCCCGGCCAACATATCTATCTTCTGCTCGAATAGTGCTTTACGCTTTCTTGGATGCCCAAGTGAGCGACCATTTACTTTGCGGTATTGCCTTATCAACACGATTACAACAGCCATGCAAATCTATCGGCGGATCTAACTCTTTATTTCTTATGTACTACTTAATCGAAATGCACAAAAAAAATAAAAAAAAAAGTTTTAATGCGTTAAATGTAGATGGGACTGGCCTAGACTTCCGTCCATGATCGGCCTTCGGCTGGCTTCATGTGATGGCTGCTGCTGGCGAAGAGACCCGTGGAGGCATGTGACGCCCCGCCCGAGGCACCCAGCGACGCATTCAGCAGCAGGCCCAGAGCACTGCTGACCAGGTGCGAGGCGATCTGCTTGATGAACCCGTTGGAGTCGAAGCCAGCCGAGCCTTGGGCTTCCTTTTTCTTCTGGCGCGGCAGCTCGGCGCTGCCGTGACGCTCCTCCGAGGCCTCGGGCGGTCGCAATTTCGACTCCAGGAAGGCGCTCAGGAAGTTTTTGGTAAATGTGAGTGGCTGCGGGGGTCCTTCGTCGTCGGGATCCTGCAAAGACAACCAAAATGAAGCTTTAGCCAACACGATTCACTCACAATCCGTCAACTCGACAAGGTTAGTAGCACAAACACAAAACAAATAACATAAAAAGGCTTAAGTACTGCGCTCAGAGAGGCCAGAACGGTTCCCACAAAGTTGCCCAGAAACTGTCCATTGTTTATCTGCAACACGGAAAAGAAACGGTCGTCAGAGGGGGGTCATTTAGGAGCACGCCGCAAACGTACCGCACCGCCTCCACCAGACAGACCATCGAAGGCCGTGCCCACGTACTGGCCCAGGACCGTGCCAAAGTTCTTGTCGCCCGCCAGCAGGCCGGAGATGAGCGATGTCGCCGTGCTGATCAGCGAGTCGATGTCCAGGCCGCCCGGCTGCAGCAGGAAGAGAAAAAGAAACTTGAGCATAAGCGAGCTGCCCCTGCACCCCTATGTCGCCCGAAGCTTACGCCGAAGAGCGTCGAAACGAGGCCCGTGAGTGCGCCAATCAGGGCGCCCACGTCCGAGCCGCCCTCGCCCTGCATGGAACGATAGTTGTTGGCATTAATCGTATTGATCGTGGTGTTAAGCGTCTACTCACGCCACTTAAGCTGCCGATGATGCCGACGAGGCCGCCGCCCCCACCGCCGCCTCCATCCGGGCCGTCAACGTCGCCGCCGAGCTCTGCCGAGCCGATTTCATCCTCCTGCTTGGCATTGGTTGGGATTTTCGCTTTAGCTGTAATATTCCGCGACTTCATACGCGCATTAATGAGCAATTATTCAACTCTTTGGCAGAGATGGAGGTTTTTAATTCAATAAATTGTCGCGTTAGTTTTGTTAGCCAGTCAAGTTTAGACCTGAGGAACGACTAGGTGATGGCACAAAGGATATGTGGATTCCTCACAGTAGGTTATTTGCTGTACCAGATAAATAAATCTGGCTCAAGCAGGGGGAATTGAACTTTCCTATTATAATCATATCTGGCTAGTCAGGTCTAGTAGACTAGTGAGCTTGTTCAAGTTAGTCACACCATAAAACTAGCAATCAGTTAAGTAATACTCAAATATAGTGACACTCACAGCATTTTCCAGCTCATCGAACTCGTTTTCCGACTGCGCTGCGCTATTGCCATCATCGCTCTTCTCGAAACGCTGCACCACCAAGTTCTCCCGGAAGTCGTCCTGCAAAAGGATTGCAATGAGCGCATATCCCATCAAACTCTGCACAAAGGCAGCTCACCTCCATCAATTTGGCCCTGTCCTCGAGCATAGCCTCGATCTGGTCCTTTATGTTATCGGGACTCTTCGCCTCGTCGACTGCGCGTTTGTGTAGGACCTTGTGACTCGCCCTGTCCAGTGGGCCACCGGCTGTGGCATGCTTCAGAAGGTAGTGCAGGGTGCGCTCTATTTTCGTCTCCAGCTCCGTCTTCATCTGAGGCACCTGCTCCAGTATGTGGCAACGCAACTGCCCCAGTCGCCTGCCCACCTCCTGCTGCTCCTCGCTGAGCAGCGCCTGGAGCTGCAGCTGCCGTTGCTGCTGTTGCTCCTTGAGCACGCTGTGAACCTCCCGGCGGAACTGCTGCTCGTCCTTATCATCGCACAGCACGTCCATGACGCTGCCCAGGATTTTGAGTGCTTGCTGATCGCGGGACATTTGCTGCTCGATCGCATCGATCCTTGGCAATATGTCATTGTCCGGCTCGGCCTCGGTCTGCCGCAGCAGCTCCTTGATGGCCTGCACCAGATGCTGCTCCATTTGCTCCTTGGTCTGGCGGGCACCGTTCAGCAGTCCCAGCCCCGTCAAGGCGCGCAGCTCCTCCGGCGGCAGGCTGCGCTCCAGCCTCCTATAGGCGCTGATCGCGCGCACCAATTGCGCTTGCAGCTTCACTCCGCCAGGCCGGGCGCTGGTGCTGCTCCAGGAGCAGGCCGAGATTAGCAAAACCAACAGCAGCAGCGCCTGCAGCTGCCCCGTGTTATTCATGGCTTGGTCGCTTCACTAAAACAACGCCCAGCAGTACTCTGCACTTTATATATGACTGAACTGTCCATCGTAGATGTCATCCATTGCGGTCCGATCCGATCCCTCGATCGCTATAGCTCTGCAAGCTAAATGGTTTTCCGCTTAGTCGCATGTGGGCGTGCCAGCGCCTCCTCCTCCTCCTCCTCCTCTTCGACTCCACCCACCCTCGCTTCACTGCACATTTTCTTACATTGGGTAATCGTGTATGGGTAAAGCAACAGATATATTTAAACACATACAATATAAGACATAACTGAGATACAGATATAAACATTATATTTCTATATCTCAGTTATGTCTTTTGTTGTCCAGTGATCCATGTCCACATTCGATTGCCCAACTGAATCATGGTATGCAAATTTCCTCAAGTAATATTGGAGTACGAAAAACCTCAGAGATTGCTTAGGATAGGCGGGTGTACATAGGTCAGAGCAATTCTAGAGGTGTCAGCATTAGCCGCGATACTCCACTCAAATGTGAGCTCAAATATCGCAATTATACGCTGGCTGCGACTGTCTCCGCTCCATGTCACCTCTTGGCCTGCAATAAACGAGCAGCGCATCTACTTATGGCAGCCATCTTAATATGCCACCCCAGATAGCCGGTCATTAGACTGTAGCCACTGCCAGTCAACGTCTGGACGATAAAAAGAGACCCAACAATTAGTGTTTGGCTGTCAATCAATCTACATAAATAACATACATACATGTATGTATATGACACTAATTGTACAGCATGATCTGCATCTGTCGCAATCTCATTCGCAGAGCTGTGAGGCGAATACTACAAATTAAAAACCTGTAACTCTAGTGCTCTAGTTGAGACTAGTCGACTGCGAGATCCCCTGAATCCTTCTTCATTTCTCTTAGGTCTACACAGCACATCCACACACACACACATACGCACGCATGGACTACAGTGTGGGCTTGCTACGGGAAATTAATTCTTTATTAAGTTTTCTTTTTAAAACCTTCAAAACGTCATAATAACAATGAAATGTGTTGCCAAAGCAAAAGTCTCTAGTATATGAAATACGCTTTTCACTAATTTTAGGGGAAGGGATGGATAATAGCGAAAATCGAAATTCTATAAAATAAACTCGAATCTATATTTGCAATTTTGAGACTCTAGCAGTAATTTAATAACCGATTTTCGATCAGCTTTTTAATCGATACTAAAATAAAGGGAGCAGTTATCGATGTTTTGCTATTATATCTTTTGAGATCGACGCGTTCAAACATATGGACAGACGGACAGACGCACAGAGGGACGGACGGACAGCTCGTTCCCTTGATCCAGAATATATATACTTTGTGGGGTTTGCCACGCCTCCTTCTGTCTGCTGCATACATTTAAGAAAACCATTATACCCTGGTTTCCCATTTTCAATGGGTCCAGGGTATAAAAACATTTAAAAGTGCTCAAGTCGAGACTAGTCGACTACAAGATCCCCTAAACCCTGCCAAGAGTCGAATTCCAATCAACCTTTGATTTTTCATGCGTATATAAAATACACACATATAAGCATGCTCATCCCTTTTGCCTCATACATACATTTTCACAAAAACATTATACCCTCTTTTCCTGTTTTCAATGAGTTCGGGGTATAATAAATATGGATTCAGGATGGTTAGTAGACGTAATAATATATCGTTCTGTGCCTATAGCACTAATTAGAATTGAAATTGATGAGTAAATCATTGCAGTCAGAACATCATTGCAATCTCAAAATTGCTCTTGACTATCTAAAGGCCATAGTCCAGAAAAAGGTCGAATTGATTCAACATTTGAGTATTTTAAATACAAATATTAATTTTAAATTATTATTCAGAACTGTTTTCAAACCAAATTTCTGCCTTTTTGAATAGGTTAAATTTCGAGTGCCTGCATATGGCCGACGTATTTGGACAACCCTAATTATTTTCTCTGGGGCTCAACAAGCCCCACGAGCCTAACAAATAACTCAAGGCATCAGTCAGTTAAGGATGCCTTCCCTCACTTACAGATCCCTATGTACAGATCTGCATATATATAATGGCGTTTATGTAGGCTTGAAATAAAGTCGAAATCAAAGAAATACTCAGTCATCTTTATTCCACTGCAATTATTTTGTTGATATTCCTATTTGATAAGTATGCATGTAAAAACAGTTTTAACTATTTAAATTTGAGTTCGGAATCAGACATACTGAGCTTGAATTTGAAATTAAGAAGAGTTCCAGTTGATGCCAGTCGCATAATGTCCCCCTATCCATATGCAATCCAGAAACGAACAGTACATTTTATAACTGATCTGTTATATTATCTTTCCAGCACTACAAAAATCTCTCAATTATCTCAATCATTTTATTAAATATTTCGGCTGGACTAAAAGATATTTACAACAATAAGATTTGATTGGATTTCTTTTTGTATTTTCATGATCCGCAGACACTAAATTTGTCTAGGTAAGTACACAGGTAATACAAAACAAAAAACCACTGTAAGCTCAAATTGTTATTGGGCTTTCCGCCGCCAAAGGCGGAAGCGGAAATAGCGTGGCCAAGTCACGGTTGTGAGCAATCAGCGTCGGCATCGGCACTTGACATTGCCGAGCCGCACAAATCGCGGACCACACAAAGATAACAGCTTCGTACTTACAGGCGGCGACGCGTCGAGCTGGCTTGTCATTGAAGCTACAGATTTCAATCTCTGAGCGTTAAGTGTAAGTGCGGAGATATCCATTAAAGGGCGAGCAGGCAAACTAGTTTTTAGCTACGCTAAATGAGACCAGCCCAGCCAAATGCACATGACCTTAAGGGCTTTAAGTCGTTCGATCATCAAAATATCAGCTATCATTTACAGGGAATTATCTCAGCCTAGAGCAAAGAGACGAGCTAGAAAATGATCCAAATAAGTAAATCAAAAATATTCCTCATATAAGATCTATATAATTGCCTAATATTGTTCATTACATGGCATGGAAAATGCATATTAATCAAAATGATATTTTGGCATAAGCCCATATTTTGAACTGATCAATATGTAAATATTTGAATGGAGATATAGGTATATATACAAATTTGGATTTGAATATATTGCATGTACAGATACAAATGTAAATAGAAAGATATGGATGCAAATGTTTATACAAAGGTACAGGTAGAGGTTGAGCTGCAGCTAGAGATACATAGAAAAGATTCATATACAGGTGCAGACAATCAGTTCTGGAAATAGATATATGTATTTAAATAGATAAAAAAAAACAACTTATGTTTAAGTTAGAGAAACACACAGATTTATACAGTAAGATACAGATACAAATAGTAATACTGATTAAGATACAAATACACTTTAGTCTTAAATTTTAAAACATGTCCATAATGTCCAGATCAACAACTCAGCTAGAACAGAGTATAGTTGATATATATTTATACAAACACTAATACACATATGACATATATGAAATTCAGTTAGAGAAACACAGACAGATGCGTATGTGGATACGAATAGTAATACAGATTCCGTTACACATACATTCACACTTCCTAGACAACAGAAGCTCAGCTAAAACAACATCTGATAGACGACCGAACAGAGGATCTGGCATCGCGCTAGCTCCATAGGAAATTTCCCCTAGGTGCACGAGTATCAAAGCAAAGCAAATAAAAGTAGGCGAAATTTTCCACCGCAGTCCCAACGTAATGATACAGTTAACTCAGCAGGTAATTTAGCTGTATAAACTTAGCAACACAGAATATTAAATACTCTTGCAATGATAGATATGATAGAGGATCCAAGATCTTGAAATAGCTCTTTGCTGCTCTAATATTTCCTGCTTCGTTCTGATAATCTTTGTCTGTAGAAAGAAAACCGTTATAGATGTGAAATTTCTCATTTAGTAATTAGCTTCAGGTTAATGAATTTCTGGAATTGGCAGAGCGTAGCAAACGTCGATCGATGTCGCTGGATACCAAATAGGAAAAATAAGTTCAGCGAAATCAATTAACAAACAGGCAAAAGCCAGCCTGAAGGCCGCCAGCAGCTGGCTGGCTGGCTTGACTTGGCCTGAACTAGTGTGTGTATGTGTGTGTTAACACATATCTTTGTGCAAGAAATAATAACCTTGCCAAATCGTTTGACTTTGTTTTCATTAGTCGCCGAAGCTTGGCAAACCCAAGCAGCACGCTGCAATGCAGCTTGACAAAAAAAAAAAAAAAAAAAAAAAAAAAATCAAAATCAAAGAGCAAAAAAAAAAAGTCATAAAACCAAAAGCCAAAGCAAAATAACAACAATACATAATATGAAAACAAAAACAAAAAACTTATAATTTTATTGGCAAAATAACTATAAACTTTGCACTGCTCTGAGCACTTTATGATTGCATTTAGTGTCGTATTGATAAGCGAACTTTGAGCTGTGGCCGGAATTAGAGCGGGGCCACACACATACACAGAGAGAGAGACAAGAATATATTGCCAACTGATGTGTAATACCCATAGAATCTGAGCTAAGTTGATAATTGTTTGGCAAATTGCTGCAATCTTAAAATTGAGAGCAGCCAATGCTGTAATACCCTATAAAAAAAAAGTCGAATCAGAAATCTGCTGAGTTAATATGCATGAAATCTGACAGAGCAATACACGTATATACACAGATACAGATCGAGATACAGTCGACTCTCGTTATTTCGAAATTCAAGGGACTCTTAAATTATTTCGAATTGTCGAGTGTTTAACCATATGAGTACGAATTACCGCGTCTTAGCAATGATTTTTAGTTCGAATTACTGAGTGATAACTTTGAATTAATGAGAGGTTCGAAATAACGCAGGTTTGAAATAACAAGAGTCGACTGTATATGTATGTTCCAAGTTAACTGGCGAGTATTCAAATTTGAAACACAGACGAGCCAAAATCCTTAGATATTCCAGCTTGCATTTGGCTAGAGATACGAACACCTGGTTTCACCTCTTTCATGCTTACGAAGCACATTTAGCTCATATACATTTAGCGTATATTCATACATATATACATAGGCACAACAGATGTTGACATCGCCGTCAGTCACGTGTGGCGCCATATCTCATGGCTGCCTTAAAGGGTTGC